ATTAATGAAATAATATAGGCTTAAGGCTGATTTCATAGGACCGACAGAATATCAGGAGGTATTAGTAACTGCAGTAAAAAATGAGTAAATAAATAGAGACAAACACTGGCAAACGCACAAAAACAAGCAATCAGTAACAGGCACATATAAACACACATACCTGTACATTCACATTCACATATACCTAATATACTCACATACCTTCAGTTTCTACAGTAACAACAACAGCGCTTTTCAAAATACTCCCCACCAGAATATAATCCCCTCAAAATTACCAAAATATAAAGTCTTCACTGACATCCCGCAGCTGCTTAAGCTCTAAACATTATACCACAGATGTCAAAACAAGAAGACGGAAAAGAGGCCCCGCCCTTTATGATGTCATCGACAAGAAAGTCATGACGTCAAACTCACCATATGCTCCTCCCCTTATGACGTCACGAGCGGTTGAAGCTCCGCCCACAGTAGATGTCATATTGCTTAAAATGTTCAGAAACCCGTGACATCACTTCTCAAAGTCTGTTAGATTTTATCAATTTCATTATTACTGACAAAGAAGCTTTCATTAGTGACTTTCGAGTATTCAGAATTCAATTAGAAACATCATTCACATACTGATAATACCTTATAACATTTCATTTTTAAGTATTCATTTGATCCGAAACATACTTGCAGTGACACCAATACCGACTTTAAAACAATAGTTGTGAACATTTTAAACGAGCATTAACATGTCTTATGGCGCATGCAATTGAACCGACTTCGGATGCCAATTCAAGAAAGTACACCTCAACACTGAAAATAACCCATTAACGATCTTACGTTGCCTCCAGCGTTTGGGGAAAAATCCTTCGCTTTCGCTGCACACTTGTCCTGGAAGTCTTTCTGTAATTCTGTTTTGGGCGATAAAATAAACTTCTGAAATGTAAATGCTCCATCTAAACATAGCCACGCACATAGACACAATCACATCTCCTTAACAACCCTATACAGACACACAAGCAGACAAGAAATTCTCACACACAAACAAACACACACACCTTCCCACACAGTGACATACACACATACACCGAGCATTTAAAAGCGAATGGTCTCTCTCTGTAAGTTACCGCCCCTCCTCACAAGACATCTATAGAATCTCCGAGACATCCACAAAAAGTTGCCACGCCAACACCTCCGCGGAATATAAGGTAAACATGTGTTCGAGTGCGCCAGATGATGTGCTTCCGCCTCTCCATTAGCTCTCACGCTCTCCCTCTCTCCTCGTTTCCTTGCTTCTTTCTTTCTCTCTCTTTTCGTTTCGTTTTTCTTGGCGTCTCCTTTTCTTTTCTTGCTTCGTTCCTACTGATGTGCTGCTTCCCTCTCATGTTATTTTTGTTTCAAATTTGTTAATTCATCTCATTATCACGTTCTTGTCCTTTTTCCCTTCTTGCTTCCTCTTCAGATGTCTCCACATTTTTCTGAAGATACTTCAGCGCTTTTTGCTTGTTCCGATTTACCTTTTCCCTTTCTTCCCTCATTCACATTTTCCTTTCTCATTTCTCCTGTTTATTCTGTCCATCTTTCATAATTTAGTTTTTTTTTCTTTTCCTTTCCTCTTCATCCCCCTCTCCCTCATTCTTCCTCTCTGTCTCTCGCTTCCCTCTAATTCCTTCTCTCATTTATTGACTCTGTCTTCACCTTAACCCCACTGTCCCCCTCCTTCTTCCTTTCCCGCGTTCTTCTCCCCCATTGTTCTTCTTCATTCTTTTTCTTTTGTCTCATTTCCATTACTTCTCTCGCTTAATTCACCTTTTGTCTCCATTATCCCATCTTCAATCCACCTGCTTCCCAGTTTTCCTCCTCTTCTCTCCTCCATGTTTCCTCTTTCTACCTTCCCGCCCCCCCTCCCCTCGATCGTCACAAGTTATTTTCACCCGAAAGGAAGGATCTAAATCACTCAAAATAACTTTTTATCTGTTTCGGGAACCGCTTTTATGACGAATGATAATTTATGACTCAAGCAAATGTCATGAATTCTAATCTCTTCCAAGATTTTCCCTTTTTAAAACATTTGAAATACATATCACTTTGAAATATAAGGGGAAAAATCATATATTTCTCTGCACAAGATGCTTCATAATCAAGAAAGGTTCGCAACATGTATATGGGCACATGCACAAATGCAGCAATGTGAATAAAACGGTAAAGAAAGAGATAGCCAAAATATGAAGTTGAACCGTAACGCACCCAACTCATCAAGAGTTGCTCGTCTGATGAGGAACCTTTGACGTGTTTCGTGTCAATACGATTACATATATAGAACGTATTATATATATAATATATATATATATATATATATATATATATATATATATATATATTATATATATGTTAATATATTACATATATATATATATATATATATATATATATATATATATATATATATATAAATATATATATAATACATATATATATATATATATATATATATATATATATATATATATATATATATATATATGTATATATGTGTGTTGTGTGTGTGTGTGTGTGTGTGTGTGTGTGTGTGTGTGTGTGGTGTGTGTGGTGTGTGTGTGTAGTGTGTATATATATATATATATATATATATATATATATATATATATATATATATATATATTATATATATGTATATATATTATCTATCTATCTATCTATCTATATATTATTATATATATATATATCTATATATATATATATATATATAATATATATATATATATATTATATAATATATATATATATATATATATATATGCTGTATATATATATATATATATATATATTATATATATATATATATAATATATATATATATAGTATATATATATATATATATATATATATATATATATATATATATATATTATATATATATATATATATATATATATATATATACTATATATATATATATATATAATATATATAATATAATACATATATTGTATATGTGTCTTGCTATATATAATTATAAACCCATCTTTTCTCATCGTCTTTTCGTCTCGTTTGTTTCCATCTTCGCAGATATAATTTTGAGAGTGCCTGTCTTTCTTTTCCTTTCCTTATTTCCGTCTTTTCCTCCCATTTCTCTCTCTCTCTCTCTCTCTCTCTCTTTCTCTCTCTCTCTATCTCTCTCTCTCTCTTTCTCTTTAGCTGGATCAAGGTGACGCCCATAAAGACAGGTGCTCTTCCTATTTAAGGGGTTTCCAAGTGCAAGAATATTCGAGTCACCAACCACACACACACACACTCAAGGACACACACGCACACGTACCCATGATTTTTTGTTCATAAAAAAAAAATATATTCCTGCCCCTGAGATCAAGCTTCATAAAAAAACGCTTAAATGAGGATGTTTGACAAGTGATGTTGATGAACCGACTGGGTCAGACTAATGGGTAAAGAGGAAAAAGGGAAGAATTGAATAAAAGGAAGAAGCAGGGGATGAAGCAAGGGATGGAAGAAATATGATAGTTATAGAGGCAAAAAAGAAAATAGATCTGGAATTCCTCATTAAAAAAGGAATGGTTAGAAATTAGAAGTTCACCTGACTGGATGGGAAACATGAATTATACTTATACATGCAAAACACACATGCGCACGCACATTTAAATTGATAAATACATTAATTTCATTTTAATTTATTAATGCATAGTCATCAATTTTAATTAGGCCACAAAAATTATTAGTACTTTTTCATGGCTATCAATTATTTCAGTTGTTCCTCTATTCATCACAAAAAATCAAGATCTGAAGCAGAATAAAATCATTTCTCAGATAGTAACATCGGAAAATGTAAATAGACAACTGGAACAATATATGATTATAGTCATTTTAAATCAGTGGCAACGAAATCCGATCAAAATCAACTTGACTAAAATGAAATTCAAATAAACGAAATACAACGAAATCATATCAAACTGAATAAAAAGAACAATTTATCTTAAATCAATGGCGATGAATTCTACAAAGTCTTTCGCTGTGTTAGCCGCGGAGGCCTAAGACGGCAGAAATAGAAAGCCCAAACAGCAGCTTCCGGCGATCCTCTCATCTCAAGGAGGATGCAGGCGATGGCATCATCTTCTGTTCGTCTTGCCCTTCCCTTCCTCTTTTTTTTTATAGCTTTTTCGTCTTTCGCTTTATCTTCCTCCTCTTCCCTTCGCTTGGAACACCCTCTCTCCTCCTCTCCTTCTTGTTACTCTTTCCCATTTTGTTTTTCATTAATTCTCTCTTACTCTCCTCTCCTTTTTTCTCTCTTGCTTATCGTTTTCTCTCTTTCCTCTGCTCTTTTTCCCTTTCCTTTATTCTCTTTCAAGTTTCTCCTCCTCTTCTTTTTTCATCCTTTTCCTTCATTTGATACCCCATTTCCCGCCTTCACTTCGCTTCTCTCTTTCATTCGTCGTCTTACCTCCTTTGTCTTTTTCATTTTCTTTCTCTTTCGCCCTCGCTTGTTTTTTTTTTCTTCTTCTAATTTCATTTGTCTATTCTTCCTCTTTCTAATACGTTCTCTTACTCTCCCATTCCCCCCTCTTCGCTAATCTCTCCATTCCTCTCCTTCTCCTCTGTCTTCGCCTGCCTCCCCCCTTCATCTTACCTCTAGTGCCACATGTGACGCCGAAGGTGGCATCTTAAGGCGCCCCAACCCCATCTCCCCCCCTCCTCGCCCCTCCACCTCCTTACTTGTCGCGCCTTCCGCCCTCTCATCCACCCCCGCATCCCTGCTCTTATGCCTTCTCCCTCCCGCCACCTCCTCCTCCCCCATCCCCCCACACTTCCATACCCCTTCCCTCCTTCTCCCCCAAATTCTCTTCAACCTCTTAAACCCTGTGCCACAACCCCCATCCCGCCCTCAGCCGCCCACCGACCTACCCTGGCAGCAGCCACCCACCCACCACGTTACCGTCGTCCCTCCCTTCCCCCTCTCCGCTCCTCACCTCCCATCGCATCGTTTTCGGCGCCCATCAAGCCTCCGCCCATCCGCCCACCAGCCCTCTCCTGGTGCCAAACGGGCGTCGTCTCTTCCCTTCGGCAAACAGTCTCTTCCTCAGCCTGGTGGCGGTCGCACAAGCCCTTCACAGTCCTTCGGTCACATACAACCAAACATGCCGGTAAGTCGTGCGTGTTTAAGTTTTCGAAAGCCAAAAACAAAAATAAGAACAAAGATAATCACTTTGGGGGATAAGGCAGAAGATAAGGATAACGAGATCGTGTTAGACTCGGTCAGCAACAATGTTCAATATTAGTTGTTCAATGACATATGAACTAATGGAATCTAAATGTGAATACTATGACTGTTACACAGTACTTGAACATGCCTGACCCCTGCCGTCACCCTTGTTTTCGTGATCATTCTCAAATTCCAAATTGATTTAGAAACTTTTTTCGGAAAAAAATATCACATTAATCAACATATATAGCAGCTCAAAACGTAGAGTGAGTTTTTGCAATGCAGAATCGGAGATTCAATTCGGACACTCTACGATGTCCCGATATCGGTCTATGCAATAAAGATGATGATAATAGCAAAGTTAAGAACAACAATAATAATATGATCATAATGATTATCAGTTTAGCCAATATCATTAACATCATTCGTAATATCTTAATGTTTATCATTAAGACATTCATTATCATTATCATGCTATTAATTATAAACGTGTCAAACAGAGTTCATAACAACACATACCATAGGAGTTTTAATCATATATATAACAAAAAGGATACTCTACACCATAATCGGGTGACGATTATGGCGCTGCCATACCAATGTGTAGCAAGCGATATATATACTAATATATTATATATATATATAATATATAGTAATATAGGTATATATATATATAATACCAATATATATTATATATATATTATATATATATATATATATATATATATAGTATATATATACATACACA